ACGCCTAGGGCTTGGACGGACTCGGACATTCATACTCGAGTAACTTGGGCTAGTCTGCCCGGTAAGTGGTTTAAATAGCGATGCCAGCCCCATACTTTTTTCCCTTGCACATCCTGTTGTGTGTTTGATCGCTCTCCTGGCAAAGATAGAGGGCGGGGGAGACGGGACAAAGGGACGTGTGTGTTTACGTTGACCGTGTTGACCGTGTCGGACAATCGCGAACACGTCACGGGCTGGGCCGTCCGCTGGACTGGGGGGATCCCTTGTCGACTTCCCACCTCTGCTAGCAGCAGCTGGAGCACATGTCGCTTGCTACCTACCTTAGTTGGGTAGGTAGTCTACTGCCTGATAACGGCGCCATGACACTCTTTCCTCGCGTTCTCGGGAAGAAGGATAGTGGTAAGTACCGTTGCGTTGCCCAAGTGATTTGCCGGCTCTTTTCTGTTGAGACGATTCATTATCATATTCCTGCCGTGGATACGGCCATCGCGATAATGCAGGCTTGTCGACCTGAAATTGGAATGCATGACGAGCTCGCCCTGACCTGCCGCAGCTCTCCGCCGACCCAAAGCACCCAGTCCACAGTACTTCGTACTCACAGCACCTCGACTAGCTGTACAGTTCTTTGCTGTTCCCGGTGCGCATATTACACCGAGCCTGTCTGACGCACTCTCCTCTGCGTTACACAATTGGCCACATGGCATATTTCATTCCGCAAGTCAGATCGCCAGGTTCAAAACGTGGCTGCCGCCGTGCCACGGACTAGGTCAGTAAGCAACATTTCTTTTGCTCTTTCCTTTTTTACCACAGTGCCATGTCGAGCCTCCCTGCCTCCCTGCCATCCAGCCTCCCTGCGTCCACGCCAGGGTTACGCCCAGAACCAACTGTCAGCCCGTCACTCGGATGAGGTGGTTGCAAGCCGTCTTTGTGACAAGTCCCCGGCAGAGGAGGAGCGAAGGGGGTTGCCGCCTTCCCTCCCCTTCCCAAATGAGCCTCCAAGTACTTGGGCAACTGCTACATTCTCTTCTCGGTATCTTGTCACCGTCACCACCCATCACTGCCAACTTACTTCCCTCCTCGGCCTATGCCTTCTTCACCTTGGTCCGAGTTCGAGGCCACGGGTGAAGGCCATCCCTCCCGAATGGATGCTCAGAAGTTGCTCAGAAGGGGACCCTAGTCAAGCTGGGAGCGGCTCCCTTGGCCGTGCCACCCACCGGCAAAGGTCTGGACGCCCAGCCTCGACCCAAGATAAGCTCTCGGAACGCTAGACACGGGGAGAGTTTGTCGGAAGGCGGCATGATTCTCCTCACGCACACTCGCATGGCACGGCGCACTTCGCGGCGCTCATCAGATCATGGCCATTCCTTACCCCCATGTCCCCGCACTCTCTTGGGAATCTCACGCCGTTGGGATGTCATATCATCAAGTGGTGTTCAGCAGTGCCTTCTATGTTTCAGACTCTGCAGTAGCCTCTCTGAATCCAGCATAGATCCGATAGGCACAACGTGGTTTCAGAGACACCTCTCGTCATAGCGCTCACAACGAGGCACTGTGGCGCAGAAACCCTCAACGCCATACCCGTGGTAATCAACATGCGTCCGGAGGCTGGACAGGCTGGTGGAGGGTCACTCTCACGACCCGTGCCGGATCGCTTCATCAAGAGAGGGTCCCGAACAGTAAATTATTTTTTTATGCTTCAAGAAGGAACAAGCCAGAAAACCACGGTGCTAAGACAATTCTTCATCCTCAATGCCCAATTCCTGCACTCCCCATTCCCTTCACATCAGCCGTGTACCCCATGGGACACTGCATCCGCTTCGTCGTCATCGTCTCGCCTGAGGGCCGCATTTGCCTGAACATATCTGTCGGATCAAACCTGTTGGTGTGTTGCGGTTAGCATCCGTCCGTCTATCGCCGCGCAACCAGCCCGGGACAGGGGCAGGCTTACCATGTCTCAAGGCTCGTCACTTGGAATTTGTCGCTCAGCTTTGCTACTGTCACACCTTGGATGTCGAGGATCCCGCGGTGAGCCTTGATGGTCACCGTCGATCCGTCTTCATTTTTCCCGACATAGTCACCCTTCATCCACCCCCAGTGACGCCACTTGAAGGCCACAACCGGTGGGCCGCTGTACACCTCCAGAACTTCCCAGGCAAAGTTCGGCATCATGTCTCTGAACGTCTTGTGGCTCTCGTCGAATGTGGAGTTGGCCCCGTAATATTTGTTGGGCGCTATGACCGCGGAATAAGTACCACTGCAATTGCTTTCGTCGTCAGCCACTTTGTCAGGGAAGAAGAAGCAAAACTCGCTTCGATCTTTTTTTTTCCTCCTTCCCCCTTCTCCTCTTTTTCCTTCCAACAGTCACCATCGCACGCAAATTGATGGTGGCACAGACGCCTAGGGAAAGCCAGGGGCCGGGGACGGTAAGAAGGCTACGCACACTTTCAACATGTGCTCCGCATCCTGAGGCGGTCCGCCATTGATTGCGAAGGTGTATTTCGCTGGGTCGACAGTTCGCCATTCGGACACGTCCATCTTATGTGACGCCTCAATCTCCCAGTTCTTGACCAGGTTCTCGACCAGTGTTTCCAGAGACTTGGCCTCATGGTTCGCGCGTTTTTCTGTTGAGAAGTCAGCACGGCTGAAGACTTGTGTGGGTTGTTTGGCGTTGGGGCTCGACGAGGACAGCATACCGTTTGCCCACATTTGCCTGGTGACTGTGTAGTCCGGAGGTGCTCCGTACCGCCATGTTGCCTTGTCATTGGTCTAGTGGATAGGAGGCGTCAGTTGAGGCTTGGAACTCTGCCGCATGGGCCAGCTGTTCAGAATCATGAACTTACGACAGCATTCGAATCGAGCATATAGTCAGGGAAGCTGGGACCTTCAGGCTCCTTCGCTTTGTCGTCTTCGACAGCGACCTTTCCCATTACTTGGCCCATGTTGAGGTATGTCGAGGAGGCCTGTGTGAAGTCGAAGATGTGGATGAGATCGAAAGTGCGTCTAGATCAATGGGCTCGCTTTGCCTTGTGAGTCTTGTATCACGATCTGCTCAGAGAATACACAACATATTACGGTTCTAGAAGGATGTCTGCCACGAGGATAGGCGGGGCCTCGTTTTATACACGAGACCTGCCATCTGCTTCTTCTTCTTTCACGCCGGTTCCCCGAGCTGGGCCCGAACAAACCTCCCTGACTGAACCTCATTTCAAGGGGCCCAAGTCTCTACCGCTCACCAATGCGGGCTTATCATAACCAGACTGCTTGGCCATACTTGGGTAGTTCGGGGCTTTTCGGGCTAGTCGTGTCGCAGCCATTGCTCAATATTTCGGGGACTAACTGCATGGAAAAAGTGCGAGTGTCTTTCCCTTCACACGGACAGAACTGGACAGGATGAGCGGCGACGCCAATGTCATGCACAAGTACATTCCAGCCAGGCGCTCAGCTTCACCCGACCGCGTGTCCTTTTGGCCCGGCAGCGGACTGAGACATGCTCATCCCTACGACGGGGATAGGAACCTTCGTCGGGCCTGCCGCTCGTGGAGCTCATGGCTATTTGCAGGGCCTTGCAGCGGCCACTTTGCAAGCGGCCTTGACTTACATAGGGGCCCACGAACTGCTTGCTATCATTCGCCAAACCGGCGTAATTAAAGGCACTGATCAGCCTTCTTCGATCCGGGGGCCTACCGGAGGATATGTGGGAAGCGGTCTGCTTTCGAGGCCCCCACGAGCAGCTGGGAATCTCGTCAAAGCCGGCGAAATTGGTGATCCTGCACGCCCGGTTACACCACGTCTCCGAAGCATTGACTCACCTATCAATGCCACGAGTCTGACCGGGTTGCGAGGGGACACGATCGGTGGAAGCCCCCTGCCCGAGATCTCTTATCTGCCTAGCACGTAGCAGTGAGATCTGCAGCCGTCAGGAATGGACGAGGATGCGTGACGCCCACGTTCACGCTCGTATGGCAGACAGGCAGGCAGGGGGCCCGGCTCCCGCCTACCGGATCATCCCCTGTGACATGAGGTGTGGATGGATGGTTGGCGCTGTCATCTGCGAAAAACAAGGGCGTGGCTTTTTGTTGGGCTACCACCGGCCCGAGGATTACACCACGCCTAACGGCGGGGCCCAAACACAAGGCGTACACAAGGTGAACAACATTCTGGGCCCATGAGGGCGACTGGGCCAGCCTCTGTGAAGCGACTATCTTCGAGTCTGCAGTTTCCTGACCGCGGGTCGAGTTGGGCCTCTGTTCGCTCCTGCCCGTTCTCAATGATGTCTGTGGCATTAGTTGTTGGCTGCCTTGAACAATTGGCCTCATCTCCTTGGTGTTATCGCTCGCCCTTTCCCATTTCTCCTCGTCACGGATTCCGACAGGAGTCGGGGTGTGGCAGGGCGCAAGGGATGTTAGTTGGACCCCAACGGAGTTCTCCCTCGCACTCCTGGAGCCTTCTCTCGCCATCCCCCGTCGCTCCCGAAAGAAAAAAAAAACGCCATGTCAGATCTCTGAGCCAGCCTCCGCCCCCTTCGATATTGTAAGGTAACGGCTGTCACTAGGTCTCGACGCCACTCATCGGGCGCGAATCTGTTGTTCTCAGATCCTTCGTTGCTAGCCTTGCTTGATTGTGATATTTGCTTCTGGCCATTTGTGGCGCCAATATTGACGCGCTCAAGTTAAAGACATGGATGACCGCAGCACACTTGGGACTGAGAATAAACGATGGGCTCTCAACGGATGATGCCGTCATCACACAACTGCCAGGTTTCCTGGCACAGTCTGCTCCTGCTTTTCCTTAGAGGAAGTTTGTCGCCGGCCGTGCCTTCCCAACCGAGGTTCGTCGTAGACGCTATGTACAATGGCACTTGGCACTCATGACTGACAATAGAGTCCTGACAAACAGATCACGCAAATAGCTCCGTGTGTTCCGAAAGTCTCTGACCTGCAACCATCTTGGCCGTACGAGACCTATTCCTTATTATCGATATTCGCCAAAGAACCGATCCAATGGAGGCCGACCCTATACACACGGCTTCTCCTGTCGGCGAGGCCAATCCTCGAAATCTTCCGAAACAGCGTTCTCGCGCTGTCAGCATCACCAATCCAAGGGACAATGTGACCATCCTCTTGCTGCTGGTCATAGCAATCTTCAGTCAGTTTGTCCCCTTGCCCATTCTTCCCCTGTCGGCCATGCTGTGCCGCCGTCTTCCGCCAGTCTCTCTGATACTATGTTTCACACGCTGATTAATGGGTCCGTAGTTCCTCCACTTGCCGTGCTGTGCATCACTAGCTGCGATGGCCAGTTCGTACTGAATCTCGGCCTCGAACTCCTCACCTTGTGAGTTACATGGAAGCCAGGAACGTCGCTTCAAGGCCAGAAAAGCTGATGGCATCGGGAATCCAGTGGAATCGCAAGCTTCTTCCATGCAGTCTGGGTTATTCTCTACTACGGCAAAGGTGGCCATCTCACCTGGGGACAACGGAGGAAGCTCGAGCGGCAGAGGCCCGCCAGGGCTCTCGAATTTCCAGCAGATCCTCAGCCCCCGCAGGTCCGCAACGAGGCATACGCCGATGCTCCGGCGTACAGCGACTACGGTGGGGGCCATGGCGGCGACTCAAAGTTTGCGTGAATTTGGGCGGAGGACGGCGCACACAGCAAAAGAGGAGGTGCAAATGACATTTCCCTGAGTAGTCTTGTGGCGTTGAATGCATACCTAAAGATCATGGATATCTGGATCATCAAGTTTGTCTTTGGTTGGAAACTACCATGGTCAATGGAGACTCGGTGTAGAGTGTTCTTACACGTCATACCCTAGAACATCTTCCAGGTAGTCTTCGGGTATCCCGCTCTGGGGCCCGTCTGTCTGCCAGCCAGGCACTCGACTGGAGAATGCTACCTCGTCGGGAATTTTCTGTCTATGCTCCTTCTTTTTGGCGTGTCTTGCTTGCTATATTGCAGTACGTTACAGCGAGGTTGCATTGTAGGGCTGAGTACTCAAAATAAGCGACACGAAGCGGCTGTTTTTGTTTGCGCCGTGACTCAGTTCAGACAACAGCGGAGACAAGGTCACGGGGTCCGTTGGATATATTGGTCCTTGGGGTCTGAATGTCGGACCTGACCGTCGCCGATGGCGTGCAGTCGTCTGCCCCGAGACGGCAGTTGGTACCAGACGAGCACTCACAATTTGCGTCTGGTGATCCGCTGTGCTTATTTTCACCATGAACACTGGTGAGCAAAGGAGTGAGCGCGTGCTGGCGCACCAAGATCACGCTGTGATGGACAGGACCTGTTTGACGCTGCCTTCGACTGGCATAAGCTGCCCCCGTACGTCGTGCGTGCGGAAGGGGGGAAGAGGCCGCGCTCACGGATGCAGCCGACCACGAACAGAGGGGGGCGGGGATTGGACCACGGAGCCTTGTTTGCTGTATCTCGAGTTACACGCCACTTTGTGAAAAAGGACCCGTGGACTCAAACCTGAGATGAGAAGCTTGGCGCGCCATGACGAGAGCGAGGCAGGCAGGCCGGCCGGCAGCATCTGACAGAGAAAGGCTTGACTCCCCGGGATCAGTCATCGTCGTCATCATCATCATCAGGCGCCGCAGTCCTCCTCCTCCTCCTCCTCCTCCTCCTCCTCCGGTGGGGATTGAGACATGGAGGGCAGCTATGTCGTCGGCTATTGAGGTGCTGCATGAGGAAGCAAGACAGGCGGGCACGCAATCTGACGGAGCTGCCTGCTGGAGAGACTCTGGTGACGAGCCGGCGAGTAGATGTCTGTCTCCTGGGTACTAAGTAGGAAGGTATCTGGGCATGGAGGAAGCCGATCAGGAAAAAATGTCTTGGGATGGATGGACCTCATGTTGTAAGTCGCATGTAGTCTACTTCACAGTACTTACTAGACCATGTCTAAGCACCGGTCCTGCTAGGTAGTTAGTTCAGCATACCTAGGAACAGCATTCGGCTGTTGCACAGGATGAAAACCTAGGCCAGGCACTGGGCAGAGAAGGGATGAACAGGCGCCAGGATCCCTCGTCTTGTTCTCCCATGGTCCTGAAGCATGGGGAGGAGAAGTCCGTGCTCAGGCCTTCTAGGCCCACGGGGAAGGAACCGGGCCACCACTCGGCCGTGGAGTGCGGGAGTACGTACCTGCCACCATCCCCCGGCCCCGCACCACGTATTAGTCTGGGTAGGTAGTCTGGGTACTTCCAGACGTCGGGGCGAACGGCAGTAAATGCATGTACAGCACACGGGCATTCTCTGCCGTGCTGCAGGGAAGGCGGGAGTTAGTGAGCACGCCGTCCTGCCTTTGAAGGGCAGCCACGACTGCTCTGCAGCTTGCAGCAAAAGGCATCGCGCCCGGTCCAATGGCGGGCCAGACAGCTTCACCCTAAAACAGACGACTCCTCTCCTCTCTCGACACATTTCTGCTGCTGCCGCTGCCGCTGCTGTGAGAGGGCAGAGCAGGAACAGCGCACAGCAACGGTTGATTGAATCCCATCAGACAACGCATTCGCGCGTCCGCTTCTCATTTCAATCCCTTCCTTTTCTTTTCCAGGGTTGACTGATTCCGGGCTCGACACGGCACGCGATACGACAACTCGACTCGAGGCATCTCGCATCGCGCATCCGCCTCTGTCGCCGCCGTCTTTCTCTGCTGCCGCTGCTCGTCATCGGCCGGACAAGCAGCAGCCACTGCCTCCCACCCCACCTCCTCCGACCACCACTCTCGAGATTACAGTGCGTCTGTTCAATCGACAATCGGAGGTCACACGCGCGCCCGCCAGTGCCAATCCATCAATCGCATTCCCGAGGTGGTGTTCTTCAACACCTGCTCCATCTGAGACATACAGCTCCCCAGAAGCCAAAGGACCACACCATGATACCTCAACTCGCCCTCTACCCGCGACAAGACTCTTTGTGACGCCTGCCTACACCGACCGTTGTCTGCCGGGGCCACTCGAGCGAGCACCTGCCTATCGTCGCCCTGCGCGCCTCTCCAAATCCCCGTCGCTGCCACCACCTGCACACAAGCTCGAACACGGGGCCAAGCCCATGCTACAACCCAGTACGACTTACACTCGCATCCGCCTGCATACGTGCTACGGCAGCACATCGCCTCCCGCATCCTCACCGCGCTGTATATATATGATAAGCCACATAATCAACGGCCTCTGGAGGGCGAACACGCGCTCGAGAGTGGAGACATGAATACGGACGCTTCCTCTCACATCTCCCCCTCCACCAAGCCTGGCTCCCGTCATCACCCACCCACACCCTCCGACTCCCCCGGCCGCACCCAGAACGCCTCCTCCTCCTCCTCCTCCCCATGCCCCGGCCCGGCCCCTGCCACCTCTTCTTCTCCAACCCATGTCCCTGCCGCTCCTAAATCTCATGATACCCGAGCTGGTCCTCAAAAGCCGTCCCCTACTCCCATGAGGTCCAGTCTTCCTTTCTCCCTCCCTCTGTTCTTTCAGTCAAACAATACCTCTATTGCTTCCCTGGTGCCGTCGACCGCAGAGGGTAAACCCATACCCCTCGATGACAGCACCGCAGCTCACCGGACACTGGCACTTCGGGAGCTGAACAGCAATTTCCCTTCACCGGTTGCTCGCCACAAATATGAAAGGTCCACCGGCGCCCAGAGCAAGACTTATTCCAAGCCCGTCATAGTCAGGACCTACAGCGGACCATCCCCGTCGCAGGGGCACTCCCGCTCCAACTCAAACTCGGCTAGGCGTGCTAGCAATCGTCGAGGCCCTCCTTCGACTACCTCGACATCCATCTCCTACATCTCTCCGACCGCCCACTCCAGACCCGCTGGAGGGTCACAGAATGGCAGCTTACTGAGCATGGCGCGGGGAAACGCCAAGAAGAAGTTGTGGCCCTGGAGACAGGGCCAGGACGAGGTCCCAGCCGAGACTCTGCCGCCGCATGAGGCGTTCTCCTTCAAGGCGATCATGGCCAACCTTCAAGCCCAGTCCAGTGAGATGGACAATGCCCTCGATGGTATTGCCGAGATATACGCGCGCTCGCGCTATAGCTTGAGCAACCAGTACGAGGTGCATGTGGCACCGCATGGCTCAGGGGCATCCTTTGTCAGTGCCGTTCCGTCGTCATCTATCCGGAGAAGAGGTTACACCAAGAACAGCCAGAGCCAAAACGGGTTGACGCTGCAAGCCATTCAGTCGGGCGACGAGGACAACAGTGCTAGTGCACGATCGCACCGCAAACGCCGAAGTACTGGGCGCCGCCAGAGCGCAGCCTACGGTACACTGGAGACTATCATGTCATCAAGCAGGTCCTCTGAAGAGGATAAGTCAAAGAAGAAGTCGGCGTCAGAGCTCAAAGATCAAGTACGCGGGCGGGCCTCTTCGAAGTCAGGCCGGAGTGGTTCCGGATCCCCCAATACCGGCAAGGGCAACGGCGCCAATCCTCTTGCTGGAGTGCCGAAGCCCAGAGAACCAACAAGGAAGGGGTCGAAGTCCTTTGCCAATGCCATCATCCACGCTGACAGTTCCAAATACAACCAGCCAGGCGACGAGGCGGCGACGACGCCGCGGAGTTCATCTGCCGCTCTCGTGAGCGAACCGTCATTACCACAGACATCTAGCAGTCATCTCGAGATACGGACGACACCAAACGAGCTATTGGGCACCGACTCTCCACGCAGCAGCCAAGCACAGTCTCCTGGCCGTGATGAGTCTCCAGAATATGCACACGCGAACCGGCACTCACGACAAGAGGACTCAAATGCCTCCAATCCCGGAGCGAGATCTGGATTGACTGATTGGGTTCCATGGAAGACTGCGTTGTCGGGCGCAGTAGCCTCCCCGCAACCAAGCAGTTCCTCTGCAGCCCGAAGCCAAGCTGAAGGAACCCTTCGCGAGTTGCTCAAAGGCAAAGGCAAATCAATTGCGACGGAGTAGTCGGCTTGCCCTGTAGCTGATTGCATTGTTGCCCGTTGGCGTTGGGTTTCCCCCCAGAGGTGATATTACAGCTGAATTGTTATGTTTGTGTTGTCTGTACTCTATGGACAGAGGAAGACGCCCATATCGCAGTTGTGTTTCTTGGTGAACAAAACGCAGAGGAGAATCAAAAGATATTGACTGAATATACCCAGATACAGAAACCCATGGGGGAAAGTGCTTTCTAGAATGCAAGTTAGTACGGGCAAACACATGTGTACTGTATGTATGTACCTTATGATGATTATGAAGACTATGAGGATTGATCCATGTTCGATTTGGCGTATGCTTGCCTGGTGCAAATCCAATTACTGCACCTTGATGACTACATATGTTGGACGTCCCAATGAAGGAGTCGTGTGCTTCTCCGATTCGTTTCCACTTCTCGTTCCAAACTGCAAGGATGAATGAATAATTATGGGCTCTGCCAGAGTTCCATTGGGGGAAGCTATCCTACTTGAGATATCTGCACAGTGGTCTTCAAACTACGTACCAGTCACTCACTCAGACGTCTCAGAAAGCCACCCCAGATCCCTCTATCAGCCAGAACTTTAGCGTGTGACAAAGAGTCAAATGACTTGCGCGTGTCAAATGTCCATAGGTCATCAACAGATGATCCGTGGTATGTCGTGCCTCGGGTACAAGCAGAAACTTGGGCGATGCTCTCCAGAGCCTTCCCTTTCGCTCACTGCTGAACAGAGACAGCTGGGACGAGATTCTCAGCAAGGAAAATTTGCGGCTTGACGAGAGTCCAGGCCCATAAAATGGACCATACCCTTAAGCCACATTCGCTCACCAAACCTGACCCTATCCCCCCCCCCCCTTGTTGTTCGTTATTTCCTTTTCCATTGATCGACATGTTGCAATCGCTGTCCGCCATCCACAAACTTTACTGGAAAGCGCAAAGTTGTGGTCCGGTAGAGATCTCCCTACGCCCTTCACCCCGCCATCTGCTAGCCCACACAACATAACAGCTCACCCAGGAGCCCAGACGGGAGCATCCAACGAATATTTGAGCCAGCCTAGTAGTTGATGGTATCCGGCAGTCGCATCTCAGCAGCGAGGCCCGGGGACTTCAGGTCGGCCTCGTGAGCCACGCCGAAGGCATCCTCTTCCTCATCGTTGTCGCCTTCTCCACCACCGCTGGGGCGGCCGGCGCGGTAGTGGTAGCTGCCGTCGTCCCGACCCCTGGTCAGCAAGGCCTGGAAGTTGCCCATGTCGAAATCGAGCTCGTCGTCCGAGTAGTCCAGGTCCGCGAGGGCCTTGAGCTGCTCATCGTCCATGGAGGAGTCGCTGAAGCCGTCGTTTTCGTTGTCGTTGTCGCCGGCGGCGTCATCTCCCTCGTCAACCATCTCCTCATCCTCGTAGCCCTCGTCCTCCATATCGGCATCGTCAGAGACGTCGGACTCGAAGCCGCTCTCGTCTCCGGCAGGCTGGTTCTCAATTCCGTCCAGCTTGTGCAGCAGCGCCAGGCTGACGGGGTCCGTGATGTGAGGGAACTCACGCGCGATGCCGCGCGCCTGGACATCGGCGGCGGCGGCGGCAACCACGGCCCTCTCCTGCTCGCGCTGCCTGTCTAGCGTGGTGACCACCGCCTGCCGGTCCTGGCGCCTGAGGCCGTTCCACGCGTCCCGGAGGGTCGGGTTGGTAAGGACGTCCTGGGGCATGGGGTTCGTGGGGGTGATGACCAGTTCGTCCTCGTCGTCGGAGTCGTCATCCTCGTCCTCGGAGTTGTCGTCTTCCTGCTCGGCGTCGTCTTCCTGCTCAGCCTCGTAGTCCGCCTGGTCCAAGCACTCGGTGCACAGGCAGGAGCCGTCGTGATCGTCTGCGTCGGAGCCGTTGAACCAGGCGACGCAATCCTCACACACGCAGTTCTCGTCGTGCACATGCTCCTTGACTTTCTCGTCGCTCTCACAGTCGTCCTCGCTATCGTAGTTGTTAGGGGCTGAGACGGCAGTCTTGCCCTCCTTGCCCTGGTTGAGACGGCCCAGCTCAAACTGGTTCAGGTCCCAGAAGCCCTCGTCGTCGTCCTCATGCGCAATAAGCTTCGTCTCGTCGCGTCCAATGTGCTCCCTGAGCGCCAGCTTTTCCTTGTCGGTCAGCGTGTCCCATCTCGCCAGGAGGGCGTGCTTGGGCGTCCACTCGCTGTAATCGAACGGGACGTTGCCACAGTTTCCGAATATGCCGTCGGGGCCCTTCTCGTGGGCCGGCAGGGCCGGGAGCTCGTCGTCGGACATGTACATCTCCTCCTCGGTGGGTACGAGGTTGGCGCGCCTCCGCCAGTCGACGTGGCCCCAGAACGCCATGTAGGTGAGTTGGTCCTTGAGGTTTATGCCGCGCCTGGCCGCCTCCTCGATGATGAGCTCGTCGGGACGGGACAGGTGGATCTGGCCGGCGCCCCAGCCCTCGAGGTGTCCCGTGCCTAGCTGCCATTCGGGGACGCCGTAGCGCTGCTCCCAGCTCCGGGAGCTGCGGATCGTCTGGCTGCCGGCCAGGTAGCGTACACGCATCTGAATCGCCTCCAGGAGCTCCGTGTACTTCTTGGCACGGAGGATCTGCCACAGCGGAGTGAGGCCCTCCTGGGCGCCCAGGATGGTCTCGACGGCCAGGGGGGCGTCGGGCCCGAAGAGGGGCTCGTTGAAGCGCATCTGAAGCTTGGTGATGAACATCTGCGCGTTGTAGATGTCCTCGGGGGTCCAGAGCTGAGTGCTGCGGATGAAGGCGCGCCGCAGGGTGTTGGTCGGCAGGTCCATGACCATCCACATCTTCTTGACGGCCTCGTGGCACTTGGTCGGTAGGCGGTGGCCGCGGCGTGCCAGCATTGCGAGGATGTCGCGCACGCGGACCTCCCTCTTGACGAGCATCGCGAGATATCGCAGTCCGGGGACCGAGCGGACGGTCTTGTCGGCGGCGGTGACGGGGCGGCTCTTCGCCCAGGGTGGCTGGGGGAATGCGTCCGCGAAAATGCCTGGCGCCTCCCAGGTGGTTCCTGAGGGGTCCTTGCGGGCGTAGCAGCCGTAGAACTTCCAGTAGAAGATACGGAAGGAGGATGGGGCCATGTGCTCCGCCCAGGCGAAGATGCTGGACTGCCAGTGCTCATCGAGGAGGTTGTGGAAGGTCTTGCTGGTGCTGTAGAGGTTGACGATGTCGCTGACGCGCAAGTGCTTGGCCACCTCGACGGCGAGCCAGGTGCTGGAGCAGACTGACTCGAGGAGGTTGAAACCAGGCTTGTACGTGGGGACGAGGTCGCCCTGGCTCGTATCTTGGACGCAGCGGAGGTCGTGGACTTCGGTAGAGTGTGCGCCATAGAAGTTGGTGGCGAGACCAAGGAGTTCGTTGTCGAACATGAGGTCGTCGAAGACATTGTCGCCGCTGCCGTTACACCCGTTGGGCTTCTCCTCGGGGCCGCAGGCATACATCTTGTGCGCGCCGCTGAAGTCGGCGTTCGATGCGATTCGGGGTCGCTTCATGGCTCTTGCGGCCTCCGCCATCGCTTCCTCGTCAAACTGCGATTGGGCTTCCCGCTTTCGTGCCTGCTTCTCGCCGATGATCTGGCCCAGGGCGTGGGCCTGCTCTTCCATGGTCAATGGCCTGCTCGTGGCGCGACGGACAAGGTCCAAATCGTTCATCAGGCCGATGACTTCTGGGTCTAGCATCATGTCACCACCAGACACGCTGTAGCTACCTTGATGCTGAGTGTTCTCCATCTTGCTGCCTTGTTTGTGGGATGAAATGACGTAGGTTGATTGGGGATGACAAGTCGCTGCTGAACTCGTTGATAATTGGCGAGTGGTTTGAAGACCAGTAGTCTTGTCAAGAGAGAGTGGATAGTAGAGACGAGGTCGAAGAAAGCAGGAATGGTCAAGAAGGGCGAGATCAATCGATCTTAAATGGAGGGACTCTGAAAACAAGGGTGTGTATTTATGTTGACAGGAGGGGTTCTATTCATCTGCGTACGACAATAGAGCTCAATGGTATCAATCCCATTGTGTGCGAGGGACCACGAAGATGGGATGGAAAATAACAGACACGATTGGTGGGAACCTCCTGCCCAACGCTTCGATTGTGTGTAGCACTGGTGAATTTCACCTCACTTTCTGCGTAAGGGGCCTATGAAGGAGACGGAGTGACAGACTGGAAGAAACACTCGGTGAGGGAGCACGTAACCGGCCAGCTGGCCAACAACTTCTGTTGGCGGAGGGGCGAAGAGCAAAGTGACTTGAAAGTCAAGTAAAAGCTGGGCCTCCCATACTGCAAGAGCTACGCAAGCTACGCAAGCTACGCGTCTCCAACACGCAAACGGCAAGCCTCAAATCGGTGGGTGATGTGACGAGATAGTGCTGTGAGGAAAATCAGAACTTGTGGCTGTATGCCAAGATTCTCCTGATTTCAATCCAGCTCCCTGAGTATTACTGCCCAAATGTACACGTACCGGAGGTAACTTCAAAGCCATGTTTTTTGTCATTATTTCCCCTTGCTCTCGTAGTAGCGTCCGTCGTCAAGCATTCATTCAGTTGGATGCCTCTCTCCAAACTGATGCACTTCCAAGCGACTCCTACCCTACAATTTACTACACGCATCCGCAATGGTTGCCTCTGCTTCACGTCTCCTCTGGATCACCCACTGATAGCCTTGTGCGCGACCCGATGGTCTCGGAGGCAGGCATCTGCCGGTCCTCCACGTGATGTATATCGAACTCAAGCTAACGGTCCATCTCCTCCATGGGCATATCGGTGTTGATCTCTCGGCCAACAATAGAGTCGGCAGGCTTCCAGATCTGAAGAACATTGTCCTCGGCCGCACTGGCAACAAGCCATGGGTCGTTGGGGTTCCAACTGAAGTCAGCCAGGTGGTTCGTGTGACCGCCGTGCATGAACAGCAGCTCTGGAGGACCATCCTCGGCATCATCGGGTATCTGCTCCTCTCCTATCCTAGTCAGGTCCCAGAAGATGACCCGTCTGTCGTAACTGCCGCTGCCCAGGACTCCCATCTCCTGAGGATGCCATGATAGCGAAGTCACGGCATCATTGTGGCCCTCAAGAGTGTGGACCTTGTCCTTCATGTTTCGCATATCCCAGATGCCGATGGTCTTGTCAGCCGATGCTGTGGCAATCACGAACTCGGAACCGGGGTTGAAGGAGAGAGCATTGATGGCGTCAAAGTGTCCCTTCTGCACAGTAAGCGCCGATTTGGTGGAATCGGCCTGTCTGGTATCAAGAATCTGGAGCGACAGGTCATCTGAGACAGTGCCGATAAAGTGCTTCGCGACAGGGTGGTACTGGACATCATTCACGACGCGGTGGTGGTGAGTAAAGATCCGGGACGGCTCGACCGTCTTACCGCGCATCGTGTTGAGGTCCCTAGAATGGGCGTTAGATCAACAGGTCACGATTGGGTCAAGGTGGGCAAGATAGGAGGGCCTACCAGATGCAGACTGTTTGGTCTTGGCTTCCAGAGACGAGGACACCAGGCTGGTGAGGGCTCCAGTTCAGGCCAAAGCCCTCTTGTGTGTGGCCGTGCAGCTCGATGTCAGGGTTTGGGGTGCCGCTGGGGTTGAGACTGCTGTGTTTTGTCCTGTTGTAGACGAGGATCCTGCCGTCGACGCAGAGGGTCGCGATCATGTCCGGGTTCTGGGGTTGGTAACGGGCTTTGTTGACCTCGCCGGGGTGGTCGATCTTCTGAATGATGTTCATCTTGATGGCAGCAGGCTCGCGACCGTGTCCGCCAATCTCACCGCGATCCTCATCGTAGTCATTGGGGTTAGGCTCAGCAGACTTCGGGATCTCAACCTCAGCAATCTGCAGGTAGTTGTCGGAGCCCGGTGAGGTGTGAGTGCCGATCAGAAGGCGGTGCACGCGGTAGTTCTTGTCCTGGGGCTCCTTCACGTCGGGAAACCACTGGGTGGTCAGAGTGGGCCAGTCAAGAGCAGTGCTCAGGATCATGTCGTAGAGGAAGGGGCTGTTCTTCTTCCACGTCTTATACTCTGTAGGCTGGCGTAAGTCTGTGATGGCGCTCAAACGGTGGTTGCGACGCTCACATACCCTCATTGATGATCTTCTCCTCATTCTCATTGATATCATCCTGTTCCATATCGACTGCTGAAAGCGTCAGGTTAGCAACTGACTGCGGCAAGAGCTCTCCCAGATAGCTACGATCAAGGCAATGAAATGAGGGTGGACTTACGGTCGACGTCGTCGACGACAGGAGCGGGCGCCATGATTAAGGACGTTCAGGATCGATGGGCGAAAAAAGTCCGAGGTGGAGTTGTATTAAGCAGAGGAGAGGTCAACTTGATGAGTGGCCTCAGACCCAATCTTGGTGGTGGTGGCGGTGGAGGTCGTCGTCGTGATCTGTCGCAAGGACTGGAGGGCTGGCGGCGGGAGAAGAGATGAGCGAGGTCGACGCGCCTTGGGTCAGCCTTCACGCGTAGAGTGGGCGAAGGGAAAAGGTGGGGCCACTACAGCAAGTCTCGTAGACAAGGATGTAGCTACCAATTGGGTGTGGCCCCTGCTTCTCTATCACCTCTAAGCACCCCTGATTTCAGCACGCCCTCAAGCCTGGAACGGGGACAATGATGTGCATAGGGTTAGGGTTGACGCTGCGGTACGCACCCCATCATCAGCCACTAGATATTTGGGGACAACCTCACTTTCAGCGAAGTGTAGATGGCTTCCCTTCCTTTTTTCTTCTGTAGAAGCCCCCCAACTGAATGAATTGTCACTATGTTTTGATCTGGTCCTCCGCCAGATGGCACAGTCCTGCTGTGACGTGAGGCAGGGGTGAGAAGATTGACTAATCACTGAGCAGCATTATCCGCAGTGAAACTTGCCCTGAACGCAGGCCGAGGTGTAGGTGCTGGCCAGGCCGTCTGGCACGGCGCCCACTGGCTAGAATGACCACACGATACGCAAATCTGCCTCGCGGCAACGGGCGCGAAGGGCACGTCTGCTCACGACCGGCCGGGTTAGGAGCGAGTCAGAAGACCTGTTGCTGTCTGTGTTCATACGTCTTCGGTCCGACGAGCCTCTCGGCCTGCAAGCCTCCAAAATTACTAGTAGACGAAAAGGAAACAAATCATATCTCAGAGTTTAGCGTGCACGGTCGAAGTGACGTGCACAGCGGCTCGTCTTACTTCAATGTGGAAGTTGTATCAGACGGCGAAAAGACAACACAAAACTTTACATGTCGAAGTTGGAGGTCACTGGACATCATCTATCTCAGCCACTTTGAAATCATCTATCCGCTATACAAGTCAAATTCTGTGGTTAGATATTGATCACCCGGGAGCACCGGAGACAGGTATAATGTCGATCGGAGATGGCAGGGATGACATTGTCAACGCGCTCAGGGCTCTATGCTGCCAAGTCCTAGATATTCCGGTTGAAGACGTGGATGTAAACTCGTCATTCATAGCTCTAGGAGGTAAGAAAAATTCCCCATCGAACCTGGAGTCTCATCAAAGGACGATAAATTAAAACATCACTCAGGCGACTCATTTAGGGGCGTTGTACTGTTCCAAAAATGCCTCGAGAAGCATATCCAAGTCTCATACCAGGCGGTAATGAGCCGATCCTTGACTGAAAACGCTGCTCTTGCCACTGAGGCTAGCGAATCACTTGATAAGGATGCGGATGCAAAAGCCTCCTTAGAATGCGACAAGCACAAAAGATTCAGACTGATGCCGAAAGAGTACGACTTCAGTAATATCGAGAATGTTCTCCAGAAACACCATGGCTTGGGCCTCGAATGCGTTGAAGACATTTATCCATGCAGTCTGATGCAAGAAAATATGTACATCGGGCAGAGGATGGGGGGATCTTCGGTCTACCAGACCACGAGCGTCTATCAGATCCCGTCTTCTTCCACTCTTGATCACATACAAGACGCGTGGCAGCAAATCGTCCATCGGCACCAGACCCTCCGCACAATCTACGTCGAGACTTCGGATTCCAGCTCGGGGAGGCTCCTGGATGCGGTTGTCCTGTTGAAGACGGCAGGTAGAGTGCTCGCCGGCACGAGCGAAGACAGAGACATGATCCTCGCCCCTCGCTGCATCAAACCTTCCACACTCGGACGAGACACGTACCATCAGCTCACAGTGTATCCTGATGCAGGATCTGGAGTTGATAAGAGACTACTCAAAGTTGAGCTCAACCATATCACGGTTGATGCAGCGTCCATGATCGTCATCATCGACGAGCTTGGGCAAGCATTACAAGGTTGTTTGTCTTTGAAGAGCCCGCCCACTGGATATGGCAAGTATATTGAATATTTGCAGCTATGGACAGATGAAGACCGAGCGCTGGATTATTGGATCGAATATCTTGATGCTGTCCAACCGTGTCATTTTCCTGCCCTGAACGATAACAAGGAGCACCCGGCAGGTTCTTCTGAGCTCATCGAGGTGCCAGTCTCAACCAGCCTGACATGTCTTCGCCAATTTTGCCAAGACTCCAGAATCACGGTGGCCACAGCTGTCCAGGCAGCATGGGCTCAAGTGCTCCACATTTACACGGGTGACCCCGATGTGTGCTTTGGATATCTCTGTTCAGGAAGAAGCCTGCCAATTCCTGGAGTCACCGGAATCGTTGGGCCTATGATGAACCTCATGGTTTGCCGCATCAGGGATGTCGGGAACAAATTTCTCCAGGAACTGGTGGACACCATCCGAGACGACTTCAGTAACGCCCTTCCTCATCAATCCTTTTCACTGCGAAATGTCCAGCGCATTTTGGGAAACAGCGAATCCAAGCTGTTCAATACCGTGGTCAATACATTCTACGGTCCTTCGAAGTTAGTCGATGACAGCGACCAACTTATTAAGCTGGTGTCATCTCACAATGCGTCGGACCTGGACATCGTTGTCAAGGCCATTTACACCGATGTTGCCCTCAGGATTCGACTGGCTTATTCCTCCACGACACTTTCCCACACTATGGCAAAGAATATTGCCCATACTTTCGCCGCTATTCTGGATCGGATGGTAACGGTGCGGGATTCCTCGTCATTCAGAGTTTCCGAAGTGACCACAGCCAGTCCCTACGACATCCAAGAAATGAGTCTCTGGAATGCCCGAAGCCTCAAGGCCCCAGGTTTGCAACCTGTCTGTGTCCACGAATTAATCGAGCTGACGGCACGCAAGCATCCCAGATTGCCCGCGATCCACGCCTGGGATGGTCACATGGACTATGAACTTTTAGATACGGCCTCCAGCGCTCTGGCCCATCTGATCATCCAGCGAGGACTTGGTCCCGGGAAGTACATTACTTTGTGCTTTGAGAAATCAAAATGGTACTCGGTTGCGTTGCTGGGGGTCATGAAGAGCGGAAATGCCTTTGTTCCGCTCGACATGTCAAATCCTAACCAACGACGGCGCAAGATTTTGAAGCAGCTGGAGGTAGCAAACCAAGGAGAGAGTGTCGTTATTTGCTCGCCCAAGTTGGCCAAGGAGTGTGCCCTGCTGGCTCAGCACACTATTATTCTGGAGCCGCAGTCCCTCGACCAGTCTCTATCGATCGGTTCGACTGACAATGGCCTACCGGCAACGAAGCCCAGTGACCCAGCATATGTCATTTTCACAGTATGTATATCCATCCAAAAACCTGCTAGCCTGAGATGGCCTGCAAACTGACAGCTCAACCTTAGTCGGGCAGCACCGGGGAGCCGAAAGGGGTCATCGTCGAGCACGGGGCATATTCTCATGCTGCTCGAACACACGGTTCCAATCTGCACATTGACCGCAAGACCCGAGTTCTCCAGTTTGCGTCGTACGGTTTCGACACCAGCATGGAGGACCACCTTACGACGTTCGTCCTGGGAGGCTGTCTCTGTGTCCCCAGCGAGGAAGACCGACTGAGCGTGCCAGACCTGGCAGCATTTGCGCTACGTTCAGAGGCAAATTGGGCTCATATCACACCATCGTTTGCCGAAATGCTTACCCGGCGTGAATTCACCACGTTGAAGACGATGGTTCTCGGCGGTGAGCCCATGACATTTGGAAACATACGCGAGTGGGCCAGGGCGGGCGAGTCCAGCCTAATTCAAGTATACGGGCCCAGCGAGTGCTGCGTCACCAGTACCGTCAACGCGGACATCGCTGCTGATAGCATGCCCTCTGACATTGGGACTGCCGGGATGTGCTACGTGGGTCACCCGGCCCGATGATCCCCAGAAGCTCTCCCCGGTTGGTGCCGTTGGGGAATTGCTCATTGAGGGCCCCATCCTTGCAAGAGGCTATGTCAACGAGCCCGAACTGACCTCTGCGGCGTTTGTTCGAGGCCTGGAGTGGGCACCCGACAGACGCATGTATCGGACAGGCGACCTGGTCAGATACGACTCCAAAGGTCATCTTCGTTTCGTGGGCCGGAGGGATGGCCAAGTCAAAATCCACGGACAGAGAATCGAGCTGGGGGAGATTGAGAGACAGCTGGTCCTAGACCCATACGTCCAGCATGCACTGATGATGGTACCAGAATCAGGGCCCTGCACAAACAGGCTTGTGGCTGTGGTATCACCAAAATCACAGGAGGGAACTTCTCACGCCGACAGCACCGCGAAGGTGTCCGCCTCTCCATCCTGTGAGCTCGATTTGGTTGACGGTAGTTGGTGCGGTCTCATATCAAGCATGAGAAATTCTCTCGAAGAGAAATTACCGGCTTACATGGTGCCTGAGCTGTGGCTCGTCGTTAAGGAAATACCGAAGAACTCATCAGCCAAATTGGATAGGAAAAAGGTGATCCATTACCTGGAGCACCTGAATTCTGATAAGTACACTGCCTTTGTCAGCCGCATGGAGGAGCAAAGCCTGGAACGACCAGGTAATGCTACGGAGATCAGAATCAGAGACCTTTGGGCGGAGGTGCTGAACATTCCTCCGGATGAAATCCAATGGACTAGTTCATTTTTTAGCCTTGGGGGTGACTCGATCTCGGCCATGACCGTTGCCAGCCTGGCCCTCCGACAAGGTCTCTCTTTCTCGGGAGCAGATATACTTCGGCATCGAAATATCGAACGCCTAGCGAAGTCTCTTCCGCTGCCACTTTTATTTCCCCCTCAATCCAGCGGCGCAGCAATCAAGAACGAACAACCTGTTGGGTTGGACGAAGATCCTTTCCCACTCTCACCGATACAGCGCTTGCATTTCCGAGTCTCCAATGGCCAGGGAGACCCTTTCGACCAACAAACGATTGCCTTGAAAGTCCGCAGTCCAATCGACGAAGATGCTTTGGCTTCTGCATTCCAAGCTGTGCTGGGCGCCCACCCCATGCTCCGCGCACGATTCTTCAAAACTGAAGACCAATCGTCTTTCCAAGGTCACTGGTCTCAACGCATTGCACCCATAACAGAAGCTGCAGGAAGTCATGTGGTCAGACTCAGATTCCATTCTTGGGCTCGTGACGACTATATCTTGGAGAGTATCACGGAGGCGAAATCCGCCATCAACATTGTCAAAGGGCCTTTGGTTGCTGCCGACCTTTTCCGGGGAAAAGACCGTGTGCTGCTGTCTGTGACAATACACCACCTGGTCATTGACACCGTATCTTGGCGCATAATTGTACAGGAACTCGAAGATCATCTGCGAGGCGGGACAAATATTGCACCCGAACCTACGTCTTTCAGAGCATGGTGCCTGGCGCAACAGCAGTTTGTTTCCCAGTTGGACTTGCCGTCCGTCATATCATCACCATTCTCATTCTACGACCGGTCATATTGGGCAGTGGACCAAGAGAAGAATACTTTCGAGGCGACCGAGGCCTACAAGGGAAAACTTGACGGAAGCCTAATGAAGAAACTGCAATCGCTCTGTGAGCCAATGGGGTGCGAGCTGCTCGATCTCCTTAGTATCGGCATCATCTTCTCTTTCTCCGAGGTCTTTGGACGACCGCCCTCTCTATTCCTGGAAGGTCACGGCCGCGAACAATTCAAGCCTGGCCTAAATGCATCATCCACGGTCGGCTGGTTTACCACTTTCTCACCAGTTCAACTGTCGCCCTCAGAAATGGAGGATGGTGACTTAATTCGTGGTCTGACCAAGGTGAGAGGCTGGAGGAAGCTCATGCCGCTCAATGGCTTCTCCTACTTTGCATCAGCCATGCTAGGCGATAATGTATGTGGCGATAGTACTGGATTTGTCGACCACCTGCCAATGGAAGTCGTCTTGAACCATCTTGGGACATTCCACCAAGTCGAGAAGGCCGAGTCTCTCTTTCAACGATGTGATGGTGACTTACAATCGACACTCTCGGCGCTCAGAAGTCGCCAGAGAAGCACGTCGCGCCGATACTCCTTGATATCCGTGCTTTCCATGATGCAAGAAGATGGTCTGGTGCTCGAAATCGAGTGGAACAAGTACATGTTGCACCAAGAGCAGATCCGCGACTGGACAACTCGTCTCGAAGCTGTCTTTGACCGACTATTCGAAGTTGGAAATTCGCAGGTTCTTGGTCGAGACGGTCGGGTTCCAAAGATCATTGGGATAGCCACAGGGAATGGATATGATGCGATCGAGTCAACGTGCCAAAGACTGGGCGTAGAACTTGGCGACGTTGAAGCAGTTTATCCCTGCTCCCCCATACAAGACTCTCTGATGCTGTCACAGTTACGACAGCCAAATGGTGTTTACAGCCAACACTTTTTGTTCAGAGTTGCCCCGTCGGATAAGCAGGTTTATGAACTCAATTCTATGAAACTAGCAGAAGCCTGGAAATCCGTGGTCGCCAAACATTCCATCCTCCGCACAGTATTTGGGCAAGACGACTCCGGCTCATTCTTGCAGCTTGTACTCCGGTCTACAGATGCGGACGTTCAGTGTCTGCCGCTGGAAGACGAGAAAGCACTGTCTGAAGTGTGGGCAACTGGATCGAAAACGGCAGGCATCTCGCCTCTGAATGGTAAATCTTTGCACGGTCTCAAGATCTACACGACCCAGTCAGGCTCAGTATATTGCATGCTGAGCAAGAACCATCTCATCACTGATGGCACGTCGTCGAGACTTCTTGTGGGCGAGTTTATTGCGGCTTACGAGGGCCGGATGGAGGCAGAAACCACTCCATACGCAAATTACATTGACTTCGTCTGTCGACAAGATCATACCGCCACGACCCGGTATTGGGAAAATTATCTCGATGCAGTCACCCCAAGTAGGCTGACCTACCCTACCTCGAGCGACGGAAGTGAGCCTGAAATCGAGGAACCAACTTTCGAGGTTGCGGAGGGTGTCATCCCAGAAAGTAGGAATCTCAATCTGGCTTCACAGAAGATGGATCTCACCTCAGCTGTTGTGTTCAAAGCCGCCTGGGCATGGGTACTGAGGACGTATTTGAACTCCGACGACGTTGTGTTTGGCGTTCTCTCTTCTGGAAGAGACATACCAGTTCCAGGGGCCCAAAGGATTGTTGGTCCTATGGCCAGTATGCTCCCAATGCGAGCCAGAATACACCCAGAGTCTACTGCAATTGAGCTGTGTAGAAGAATTCAGGAGGACGACATAGAGCACATGTCTCGCCAAGCCATCTCACTGGCCAAGATCCTACACGCGATCAAGCGGGGCGATGAGCCGTTGTTCAACACAATCCTCAACATCCAGAAGTCTGGTGGAGTCTCTGCATCAGGAGGTCCAACGAACTCACTGCACTTCGAACTTATACATGCATGCGATACGAGTGAGGTAAGTCGTGGAGACACCACAACTCAGCTTTGCGCCGTACCCCACTGATAATTTGAACAGTACGACGTGGCGTTGGGCATCACGGAGGAGAATGGAGAATTCAAGCTGTCGATGGAATACCCAACCTTGTTCATGTCACGATGCGAGGCAACGAACATACTCCAGGTGTTCCAAAAAGCAGTACAACAGATCATTTCTGAGCCCAATGGCAATATCGGCACTACTAGCATCGCCACAAGCAGAGACAAGGATCAGATTCAAAAATGGAATGCACAGCCTTGGGACACCGAGAATCGACTTGTTCATGAACTCATCACAGAGACAGTTGCAAAGCAACCATCACGTCCTGCGATTTGGTCGTGGGATGGGGAGCTTACCTTCTCCGAACTGGACACCGAGTCAACCAGACTCGCAAAACAACTGCGATTCCTGGGTTGCAGCATGGGGTCTATTGTCGTCCTATGCTTTGAAAAGTCCATTTGGGCGGTAGTCTCCATGCTGGCTGTCGCCAAGGCGGGCGCCGCCTTTGTGCACGTCGATCCCAATGGTCCGGTGGAACGAATCAAGAGTATCATTAAACAAACTGGATCAGCCTTGGGTTTGTCTTCTGCGGCAAATGCAGCCCGGATCTCAGGGATTCTCCCAACAACATTGACTGTGGATCAGTCAACAATAGCCAGCTTCCTACCAACACCACAACAGGAGTGTGATTTGCCCCTGGAGATTGACCCATCAAGTGTCCTCTACATAATTTTCACCAGCGGAAGTACCGGGAATCCGAAGGGCGTAGTGATACAGCACCGCTCGTTCTGCTCGGCCGCCAGGCACAACCGAACGTGGCTCCAGATCGAAGAAGATTCACGCGTCTTGCAGTTCACCAGCTACTGCTTCGACGCATCTCTCGAGGAGATATTCACTGTTCTGATTGCGGGTGGATGCATCTGCATCCCCTCTGAGCAGGATCGCCTTGCTAATGTCCCGGGCTTCGTGAGACGCGCCCAAGTGAACTGGGCGGCGTTCACGCCTTCGTTCATACGCACCATGTCACCCAGCGACCTGCCCTCAGTCAAATTCATCACTGTTCATGCAGAGCCGATGAGTGGTAGCCTGGTGAAGCAGTGGGCAGGCACAGTCCGCATGCGACCATCTTACGGCCCAACTGAATGCAGCGTCACGAGTACAGTTGGAGCGCCATTCACCCCCGACTCCAATGCTGGGAACATTGGCTGGCCTGTTGGCTGCCGGGGCTGGATAGTGGATCCGAACTACCATGATGTCCTCCTTCCAATTGGAGCCATCGGCGAGCTTGTAATAGATGGGCCAATTGTGGGGAAAGGATATCTTGGGGACCCAGAGAAGACTGCAGCCTCCTTTGTTGCACCGCCGTCATGGAGCCTGGATACTGAGCTCAAGCTGCCTGATGCTGATCCACATCGCCGGCTATACAAGACAGGTGACCTTGTTCGATACACATCTGACGGGAGTCTAGTCATCCTGGGCCGCAAGGATCACTCACAGGTCAAGGTGCGAGGACAGAGAGTCGAGATCCAAGAGATCCAGAATCATCTTGAAAAGTCCCCGCAGGTCTTGCACAGTATGGTTATCATGCCCAGCTCGGGAATACTTCGAGGTCGGCTCGTGGCTGCTTTAAGCCTCGAGTGCCTGGCTACAGAGATCCTCCCTCCACCGGAGGAAAGCGGCAAGAGCAGGGTCCGACTTGTATCGAAGAGGCTACTGAGCAACAAGCTGACCAAAGAGGTGACTCAAAGCCTGGAGAGCATACAGGGTATCCTATCGAGTGCGCTGCCTGCCTATATGATGCCAGAGGACTGGCTAGTTGTTGAGACGATGCCTGTTCAGGTCTCTCACAAGCTTGACCGCCAGGCGACCCTGAACTGGGTTGAAAACATTGACGATGCAACGCTGCAGATGGCGCGAGAAATGCAAAGTGACACCAGCAGTCAAACGGCGTGCGGAAGTGCTACGGAACAGACGATTAGGGAAATATGGGCACAGGTTCTCGAGCTGCCAATTTCACGACTTTCTCTGGATACGTCATTTTTCAGGCTGGGAGGAGACTCTATTTACGCCATACAAGTGATGCAGAGATGCAAAGAACGCGGACTTGCTGTCACCACTCAAGACGTGCTGGCAAACCCGACTGTGGCACAACTGGCAGTAATCGCTAGTCCTCCTGAAGGGAACGGCTCCGCGGCAGTGTCATCAGTTGCTCCCGTGAAACAGAGCGGTCAAGGCCAGGATGCTTTCATGGTGGACGTCTCCCTGCTGCCCTTTCCACGGGACGACGTGCAGCATATCTGGCCCTGTTCCCCGTTCCAGGAGCGCATGTACAAAGCGTTTCACGATAAGCCATACAAGCCCTATGTCTTCGACACATTTATCGAGCTCATGGACCCACCAGATGAACCGAACAGGCTAGTCAAGACGTGGAACCAAGTAGTAGAACGGCACGGCATTATGCGGACTGCATTCATCTCTGCACCAAGCTTCGACAGGGTGCTTCAGGTGTTGTTGAAGAAACATCCTACCGATTCTGCTGTTGTTCCTGTAGCATCAGAGCTGGATGCACTCGGGCACTGCAGGCACCACCTTGACACAGTCCGTTCGCGCATGTTCACTGACAGCTCACCACCGTTGTCGCTCAGAGTCTATGTCAGCCCTCAGAAGCGAACTTTTGTGCACCTGATCATGAGCCACATATTGATCGACCACGTCAGCTTTGCACACCTTCTTTTGGACTGGAAATGTTTCTACCAGGGCAGAGAGCCCTCCCCGGCCTCTGTTCCAGACTTTGGCTGCTACATTTCGCACCTCTTCGACAACAGAAATATAGACGCCAGCAATGGCTTTTGGACGGACACGCTGCGGGGCGCTCAACCGTCCCTATTTGTTCCAGCAAAGGATGCGAGAAGTATGGAAAAGACGCTCGTGCCTTGGGAGATGGGATCAGTCAGGTTTACTGTCGAGATGACCCCAGAGCGCGAAGCCTTCTGCCAGAACGAAGGTATCACCCTGCCAAACCTGCTGCAGTTCTCATGGTCTTTACTACTTCATCTACACACAGGGAACCTCGACGTCGTGTTTGGCCATTTGGTTTCAGACCGTGACGTTGATATTCCCGATGCCGAGGTTGTGGTAGGGCCCATGCTTTCAACGATTATAGGCCGGGTCCAGTTCCAGCACTCTTCAAGTCTGCTGGACTCGCTACGCAAGCTACAAGAGCATAATATTCGCGCACTGGGCCACAAGACCTATGATCTAGCCCATGTCGAGGAACACATTGGAGTTGGTGCCGATGGACTTTTCGATACTCTGGTGAATATTCGCAAGGTCAAATATCAGGGCGGCGAGGCCCAAGACCCCAAGGCTTTCCGGTCCATATCTAAGCGGGACCCTCACGAGGTAAGTGACACATGCAAAAAGGCTGCAAGTCAAGACAGAATAGTTCGATCACCAGGCTGACATGATGACACATTAGCAACACGTTGTTCTGGCGTTCAATGAGGGCCCATCCCGGCTAGATGCCGAGATCACGTTCTACAAACAAGTGTTGGATTCTCAAAAGGTGGCGAAGATGGCCGAGGCTTACTGCCAAATACTGGATGGACTATCGAGTGGGCAGCTGAAGACGCTCAATGATGTCCAGCATCTCGGTATTGCGAGTAATGCCAATTATACTTAGAATTTCCTTGTTTGGCTGAGGGAACTTATCCTTGGTTCAGGAGGCGCATATAGTAGGAGCAGAGACCGGAGAGAGAACTGATTTCTTCTCTTTCTCTTTTTTCTCTTTGAAAATGGCTCTTATGTGACTTCATTTTACGCGAGGCAACGTTGCAAGACCATGCCTATCTTATTGCCTTTGATCTATCTTTTGTCATTTCATCCAAGTACATTGATCTTGATGGAGCAATTAAGCAAATAATAGTTGATTGTTATGTATTAAGGAGAGAAGTCTCTCGTTATTAAACGCTTAAAAGGAGCTTATTTATAGGCTAGCGTTAATATATAGGCGTATAGCCCTTGCACCTTTTAATACACCCCTTATTACAAGTATTATCATTTAATAATAATAAAAAATACAATATATAATAATTAAAATATAATTTAAATATTTTATTATAATTTATATTAAGATTATTATATAAAAGTTATTTAATATTTATATATTCCGCTTATATTATTTTTAATTAACTATTTAAATACTTATTTAATAATATAAATCTTATATTTATCTTAATCTTAATCTTATATAAATTTCTTTAAAGATAAGATAAAGCAATACTTTTATATAAATATTAATAAGATTATTTTTAAATATAATATAATAAATATTATATATCTTTTTAATTCCTTTATAAATAAAGTAATAATAAATAATAATATATTTTAATTAAGCATTAACTTTATAATTTTAAATAAAGTTAAATGCTAATTAATTATTAATATATAAAATAAGCAAACATTTAATATACTTAATATTTAAATTTTTTAATACTTAAATTATTTAATAAAAATATAATAATATTAAATAATATATTATATATTTTAACTTATAAATAAATTTTATAATAATAAATTAACGCTTTAATAATTAAGTAATTAAGTTATTATTAAGGAATTATATATATTTATTAAATAATTTTAAATTATTTAAATTAATATTATAAAAAGTATTAATGTATATATTAAGTATAATAAATTAAAATAATAATATTTATATTAAAAATCTTAAATTATAATTTAATATATATTAAATATATTAAAGCACTTCCTTTATAATATTTAAATAATAAATTGCAAGCTTTATATTAAATATTAAAAGCATTATATAAAAAAATGCAAAATTAAGTTTTATTTTAATAATAAAAGAATTAATAAATTTAATAAGTAATTAATATATTATTATATTTATTGCAATATTATTAAGTTATTTTTATTATAAAAATAAATTTAAATTTATAAAAGTTTATCTTTAATTATAATTAATTATATTAAAGCATTTTACAATTTATTAAATATATTCCTTTTAAGAAATATAAATCTTATTATTAATTTATATAATTTGTTATGGTTTGGGCTTGTGCTTATAGTGATTAGTTAGCGGGCTCTGGCCCTATAAGAATAGGCTTTAACGTAGATATAGATAGGGAGTAAACCTTCTTCTTTGCACTTTAAATATTAACTTTATTTAAGCACTTTTATTTTATAAGTTTAAGGTTAGCCTATAATATATATTTAAAGTCCTTTTATATTACAAACTTATAATATAACTATATAAAACTTAATATAATAAGATTTAAAAGAAATAATAGCAGCTTATTAAGTTCTTCTTTATTTTAAAGAGCTTTTATCTTAGGAAAATTTAGTAACTTAATTAATAAAGATAAGAGCTAAGTTTACAATAAATAAAAAGGTAATTAGCACTAAAGGGGCTTAATTTTTTTATATATTTAGCTAATTAAGAATTTTTCATAATTAATTTTTATTTTATATTAATTTTATAAAGATATTTAAGGGGTAGCTAGAAAGCTTTTTAAAGAGGGTTTGCCTTATATTTAGAGATCCTTTTAAGTAAAGGCATATTAAGCTTAGCTTAATTACGCTATAACAATACTATAAAAAGGAAATAATAGATTTTCTTATTTACTTTAATTAACTTTCTTATATAGCTAAGGCCTAAGCTTAGCTAAATAATTATAAAATATTATTTATAATTAATAAATTTATTACCTTAGCAAAGTTAAAACTTAATTATAAAAAATAATTAAAGATATTTAAAATATTTTGCTTTGCTTTATAATAATATAAAGGCATTTTTAACATTATAGCAGCAAAAGATAATACTTAACTTTAAAATAATAAAGTAATAAATATTAATATTATAATAATTTTAATAAAGAAAGTTAAGTATTATGCTTATAACTAGCTTAATTATTATAAGTATAATTACTTAAATTATTATAAGAAAACTTATATATAATTATTATTAATTAGGCTTAATAAAGGGAAGGCGCTTAATTAAGGTTATTTTTAATGTATAAATTTTTTTTTTATAAGGTAGGGCTTAAAGTAATGCTAGCTTGGTATTGGCTTAGGCTTAAAACGGGCTAGCTAATACTAGCTAGTTTAGCGCTATAAAACTCTTAAGGCCTAGGAACTTTTTATTAATAAAGTAAATTATTTATAATTAAACATTAATTAATTATAAGTTATATAATAAGTTTATAGCCTTAAGGCTTTAAATAAAAAAGCTTATATAAAAGGCATGGATTAAAGAATTTTAAAAATACCGCTAGCTTAACCGCTAGCTTACACTTAAATAATTATTTTTTATTAACTTACTTTAGCTAATATATTAAATTATAAAGTATGGAAAGGATAAAAATATATATATATAATATAGGCCGGCTTAATAGCGTAATTAAAATACCGTAAATTAATTAAATAACTAAGCAAAAGGTAATATTTAATTCGCAACTAAAGCAATGCCTTTTTTATTTTTTATTATATAATTAACCCCTTGGAAAGGCCCCTTTACGGCTTTAACCTAAAGAAAGGAGATATATTATGGTTTGGGCTTATGCCCATAGTGATTAATTAATGGGCTTTAGCCCTATAAGAATAGGCTTTAGCGTAGGTATAAACGGGAAGTAAACCTTCTCCTTTGCACTTTAAATATTAACTCCATTTAGGCACCTTTATTCTGCGAGTTTAAGGTTAGCCCATAACATAATTTTTAATTTAAGTAAGTATTTATAAAAAAAATTAAAATCTATATATTTAAAATATTTTATAAGCTTAATATAAAATTTATTAATTTAAAAAAGATTTTTAATAATAATAATATTATTAATATAAATAATAATAATAATTTAATTTTTAATATAAATATAAATATTAAATATTATCTTTTATAAATATTTAATTAATTCCTCTTTAAAAATATTAAATTATTTATAACTTAATTATTTAAATTTATATAAGGCATTAAAAAGTTTTAAAAACTTATTAATTTTTAAATAATATTTAATACCCTTATAATAATTAACTTATAATAATAATAATAATAATAATAATAATAATAATAATAATAATAATAATAATAATAATAATAAATAATAATAATAATAATAATAATAATAATAATAATAATAATAATAATAATAATAATAATAATAATAATAATAATAATAATAATAATAATAATAATAATAATAATAATAATAATAATAATAATAATAATAATAATAATAATAATAATAATAATAATAATAATAATAATAATAATAATAATAAATAATAATAATAATAATAATAATAATAATAATAATAATAATAATAATAATAATAATAATAATAATAATAATAATAATAATAATAATAATAATAATTTTAAATTATTATAATATATTATAAAGCTATAAATATTATTATAATTTATATTATAAATTTATATATATTTATAAGTAATAAGTTAAGCTTTATAATAAATAAGCTTATTAAAAGCATTAAATTTCTTTATATATACTTAATAAGGATTAATAATATATTAATTTATAATAATAAGCACTTTAACTTATATATTTATATTTAAGAGTAATATAAATTTTCTATTAATAACTTATTATTAAGCATTCCTTTTATTGCTTTTTATAACTTATATATATATATATATATTTATAATGGGCTTGGGCTATTGCTTAAGCCTTATATAGTGTGGCTAAATAATTTAAAAGAGCTTGGATTATTATATACCTTTTGGCTTAATGGTTAAAAGGTGGCTGCTTTATAGCTTATGGGAGAAGGTATTAGCTAATTTAAAGCCTTTTTAAGGCTAAGCCTATAATAAATAATTTAAGCTTTAAGGTTAAAAGTTTAAGTTATGATTTTACCTAATTATAAAGAAGATCTTTGGCTTGAAAAGGTGATATTGCGGGTAAGCCTTAGGGGTAATTATATTATTATATTAAGGGGGTCTTGGGGGAAGAGGCTATGTAATAGGCTTGGGCTATTGCCCAAGCCTTATATAATGTGGCTAGATAATTTAAGGGAGCTTGGATTATTATATACCTTTTAGCTTAATGGTTAAAAGGTTGCTGCTTTGCAGCTTATGGGAAAAGGCGCTAGCCAGCCTGGAGCCCCTTAGGGCTAAGCTTATAATAATATTAAGAATATTATTAATATTTATTATATTAATAAATAATGCTTAAATAAAGATTTAATTAAGGTAATTAATATTAATTAATATTAATTAAGTAAAATTTAATATAAAATTTATATTCTTTTTTTACTTTTTATAAAAGCTAAATTTATTATTTTTAAAAATATATAATTATATAAGCTTTATAAATTTAAGTAATTTATTAATAAGTTTTATATTATTAATAAGTTTTATTAATTAAAATATTAATAATACTTTTATCTTAAATAATACATTTTAATTTAATTAATTAATTATTTATATAATTTTTATTATTAAATTTAATTAAGTAATATTAGCGGATGCAGGAAATTACGTAAGAAATAGTATCATGCTAAATTCCGGCTAGCTATAAAAAGCTAGCTTTTATGCTTATTTTAAACATTCTTTTAAGAAATTAACTCTTTTCTTTTCTTTATATATTTAATGCTTTAATTAAGCTTTTCTTATTTTTAAGAATTTTTAAAATATTTATTTTTTCTCTTTCTTTAATTTCCTTTTATTCTTATCTTCTCTCTTTATTATATTAAAGCTCCTCCTTAAGTTATCCTTAAAAGGATTTAGTAAAACCTATCCCTTATTATTTAAGTAGCTTATGTTTATTAATAATTTAGCTTAAGCGCGATTTTAATTTTATGCATCTTTAATTAATAATAAAAAGAATAAAAAGTTAATTATAAATTAATTATTTATTAATTTTATTTTATTTTTATTTTTATATTAAATATTACTAAACTATTTTATATCTTAACTTAAAGCTTTAATTAAAGCCTATATTTATCTTTAACTTATTATAAAAAAGAGTTAAATATAATTAAACTTATAATAATATTATAAGTACTTTAAGATTATTTTTTAATTTTAAAGTACCTTTTATGCTTTTAATATTTAAATAAAATACTACCTTAATTTTATATTAATATATTATTAAGCCTTAAACTTATTTTAAATTTCTTATTAAAAATTATACTTAAAATATAATAATAATATAAATTTAAAATTAAAATAATAAATTTAAACTTTATAAATATTACTTAATATTAATTAAAAATACTTTAAATTCTTAATTAATATTTATTATTATTATTATAATCTTAAGTTTAAAATAAAGGTGGTTATAATATAAAATTAAGGCATTTACTTTGCTTATTTATAAATTTAATAAATAATATTATATTATATATTTTTATATTAATTAAATTATATAAAAACTTAAACTTAAAATATAATTTTACTTAAACTTTAATTAAATTTAAATTTAATTTATTAAGGATTTAATATAATATTAATAAATAAGGCATTAAATATAAATTTAAAAGGCTTTCTTTATTATAACCTTATAATTCTTATTTTTTAATAAAATATCTTTTTATTAAATTTATTTTATTTATTATTATATTTATTAATACCTTTATTTTTTTTTAACTTTAATTTAAGTATTTTATAATAATATTAAAAATAAAATTTTTAAATATAATTACTTTAATTAAAAAATATTATTACTTTTAAGTTTCTTTATTTTATTATTATTTTAATAAAAATTATTATAATATATATATTATACTTTTAAGCTTAAAGCCTTTTTAAATTTACTCTTATTTTAAAAATATCTTTAAACCTTAAAAATTATTTATTTTCTTTTATTTAAAGCTAAAAAAGGAATCTTAAGAAACTTATTAAGGGAAAAGAAAGATTTATCTTACTTATTATTAATTAAAATATTAACCTTACTTTAATTAAACCCTATAATTTATTATTAATAATAAATTAAGAACTTAAATTAATATTTTAAAAGTTTTATTTTTTATTAATATAATAATTTTATTATAAATAGCTTTATTTATAATTTATAATTTAAATACTTTAAAATTTAATAAAATTAATATTATTAAGGTTTTAAATAACTTTAAAATTATTACTTATTAATTCTTTTACTTAAATAATTAAATCTTAAAATTGCTTAAGCAATATTATACTACTTTAAACTTAATAAAAGTAATTAAAAGCATTATTATTAAATAATTTATTTAAAAAAATTAAAAGAAAAAACTTTTTACCTTTTATAAGTTTAATAATTAAACTTATTATATAAACTTAATTATAATTATTAAAAATATTATTTATAATAACCCTTATAATAACTTAAAAGCAGCATAAAAAGGGAAAATTATAAAATATAATAAGAACTTAATAATATAAATAATATCTTTCTTATTATAATTTAGCCCTTTTAAAAAATACTTTTATTATATTTAAAAAAGTAGCTAATAAAGAAAGGAATTATTTATAAGTTAATAAGAAATATTTTTTAATTAAACTTTAAATATATTTTATTAAAAGTTATTAATTAAGAACTTAAATATTTTAAATAAAATAAGTATTTATTTATATAAAATAATTTTAATTAAAATTTACTTAATTTAAAAAAGCTAAATTTTCTTTAAAAAAGCTAAAATAATTTTAATTCTTTAAATTACTTTTAAAATAAAAACTTATAAGCTTAATAATTTTTATTTAAATTTAATTATATTAATATTATAAAAATATAATTAAGATTTATAAAATATAAATAAACTTATTAAAAGGTTTATAAAGTTAAAACTTAATTTAATTAAATTTAAAAATAAATTTAAGTTATTTTAATAAAATATTAAAGCTTTTTCTTATAATAAATAATAAAGTAATCTTAAAATAATTAAGTTAAGAATTATAAATTTTATTTAATAATTTTTAATAAAACTTAATTAAATAACTTTAATAATAATAAAGTATAAGTTATAATTTTAATGCTTTTCTTTAAAAAAAATAAATTACTTAAAGTTTATTATAATTATACTTTTTAAAATTATAATATATATTAATATAATAAGCTTAAATAACTTTTTTTAAATAATTTATTAATAGCTTTTAAGCTAAAAAAATTATTAATATTCCTTAA